TTTCCCCGCAAAATTGTGACATGCCCAACCCACAAGGCCTGGTTGGAAAGGGAGCAACAATTCAAATTTTAGCAGTTCAGTGGTTGGATTTCAACCACTAAACCACAAGAAGCAAAAATGGTCAAGAGTCAAAATGTGTCCCAACGACAACCATGTAATGGTGCCGCTGGGCTTACCTGGATTCCCCGGCTGAGGTTGGCCGCAGCCCGAGCCCCGTTGGAGAAATCCAATCCGCCCACGGCAAACAATCATGGAACTTTGGTCACGGAGAGCAGAAAATCCGTGTAGGACTCCGGGGAAAGGGGGGGGTGGGGGGGCTGAACATTTCCACGGAAAAACAAAAAACATCACCCTGAAGGGAAGCTCACCTGAAATGGGCCGACAAAAACCCAGTGGCACTGTCTAAATCCCCCCCCCTTTGGCGAAACGAGGCCAGTCGTGTCCGGCTGGGAGCCTCGCAGCTGCGCTGGCACTGGCCGAGGCCGTCTTTGTCCCCGGAGCCTCGCTTGGCGTGGCAGACCCTTGCGGCACTCCAAGGATCAACTTCTATTTGGTTAAGACCCCTGGAGAAAAAAAATGAAAAAGGACAAAAAAAGGAGAAACAAATCCAGTAGTGAGAAGTTCCCTTTAAAACCCACAGGGGCAAATGAGACCTATTCCTTTCAGCAAATGGAAGTCAAGGATTGGCCTTGAACAGGGCAGGTGGTTGAGTCCTTCGCTTGCTGAGCATTTGCTTTTTACCCCCCCCTTTTCACCTGGAAGCCACGAGGACTGCCATGCCATTTCTTGGCTCCCCCCATTTTGACACCTCAAGCGCCTCAAGGGGCACCGGTTTCCTGTGCCACTCGAGCCTTGCTTCAAGGGGCACCGCGCCTAGCCAAGCGCACTGCTCGGGCGCAAAGACCTTCCGAGTCACCGGCGGCGATTCGACACGTGAGTCACAATCAAAACCCGGTACTAGAAATGGTCGAGTCGTAAACCCAGTTCCATGCTTCAAGAATTTCGAAGCCGGACAATTCCGCAGCTATTTGTGGCCAGGGGATTGTCCCTTACTAACCGGATCATCTACCTGAATCGGTTTTCATACCTGAAAAAAGTGTGTGGCCGACTCCCGAAGGCCACTTTTTCGGTCAAAGGGCAACTGGAGACACGTCCCACCGTAGAGGGTTTCTTGGGGCCGCAGTTCCTGCGACTGAGTATTTAACCCTTGGCGCTTCTGTGTAGGGTTCCTGATGTGTGCATGTGCAGGTCACTGGAAACAAGCAGGATCAGAGACACCATGATATTCGCTTGAACGGCCGTCGATTGAAATACACATTTCACGCGTGACTAGGAGATACCAGGGCCAGAAATGGATGCGGGTACGCGTGTAGACATGTTTTGCCGTCTGCGCATGGAACAAACCGCTTCCTCATGGATAAGCTCGGTGCGTGGCACGAACCACCATCCCGTGGTTTCTCTGAAAGACGCTCTGAGGCTTTTGCTTCGCTACTTTGCCCCATGCTTCTTGCGGGAACCCTTGCAAAGGTTGTCTAGACTCCTTTCTTTCAGATTTCCTGACCAGTTAAGTGGTTCCCCCCTCAGTTGACCCCAATTCACCCCTAGTCAAGTAAATCATGTACGTAACCCCCGGTGGCCAGGAGTTTCTACCATACCACATGGTGGCTTGGCAAAAATGGCAAGCCGAGAATGAGACAGAAACTTGATGAACCGGTTTAACCCTCATAACCTGACCTCAAAACCAAAAGAAACGAGCAGACACAATTACCAATAAGAGAAGAACTAAGAACTCAATGAAGAGTTCAAAATTAGATAAATGGATAGCAAGCAATCAATAGAAGGGTGAAGAACAATAAATATGGTTTTCTTCATGTCGGGGTTCTATGTCCCATCATGTGTGTCTAATAGATGAATCGCCAACGAAAAAATATTTCAGCAACACAGCAAGTAGTTGATTCTAAGCGTTCATTTGCTACAGAATGTTTAACTTCTAAGGCTTCATTTGATCATATCTTCATTCTTGCATTTCAAGTTGTGAAAGTTATATCACGTTGTGTAGAGACTAATCGATCCAAGAAAAAGAATGTGAACAACGATCATAATTGTCATCTTGCTTATCTCTTACTATGTATCATCTTCACGTAAACTTTAGAATATTGGAACATCGCACACATCACAATCTACAACTTTATTATTTGCCTGTTATAGACATAGTGTGCCGTTTTGCTGCAAGTTTTTCGGACATCCTAAAAAGGCACCCCCTCACATCACAATAACTTTCGGGGTATGCCGCATTTTTGCCACCCACGACCATCATTTTGGCAACCCCTCAAGCTCCCCATGGCTAAGCCGCATTCTTCTGCATGGTATTTTGGTGAGTGTAGCAACTATAATAACTTAACCTAACTACAATAGATGGCGGCAAACATAGACCGTTGCTCAAATGATGACTTTCCTTTGCTCCCCTTTCAACCAACCTGAAAAGGGGCATTTCATAGACACCGTATTCCCTCAAAAAAGACAGGTCCTTGCAGTATGTCGGCAATAAATATAGAAAACCATAGAAAACCTTTAAAGGCCCAAACAAACCCATAGGCACCCGAACCACCTTTCCGCCCCGTGCGCGCTCACTGGCCTTGTCTGTTCGGTACAGCTCCCAAACTGGCGAGAGAAGCATCGGCGGTACCAAAAATCCTTGGTGTCCTTTTGGCTAGGTCCTCCAGTAGAGGGGTTAAAATAAGGGCATTAACTTTTTCGGTAGTCTATTCTAGTAGGATAAAAGGGCACTACTGGGGGATCTAGTTGGGGTTGCCTAGGGAAACCAAAAGGTGCACACACACACACAAACATGGCTGTCCAAGGATTTTTTGTAGTTTCTTGGTTTGTTTCCCTTCAAACGCGCGGTCCGAACTCCATGCTCGGAATGAACTCAACCCACTTTGCAACCATGTATAAGCATGATTTTAGGTATGTGCCCTGAATGGGCCCTGAACAAGCTGTTTCCAACAGTTGTTCGCCACTGAGTTTGGGGTACGCCCCCATTCGGCCCATCGGCTAGTTGGACCTTATGGCTGAAGCGGAATGGAGAACCAATCCCACGTGACTCAACGCCTTGTTTTAGGTGGGGGTATCGCCTGATACTTCAATTCTGGATGGACGACATCCTGTAAGAACCCCTGGATTCTGATTCGATTCCCGGTTACCAAACAAAGGTCACGGCTTAGTTCCCATGGCTTCTCGCTGTGCGACTTCGGGATTTCGAGTTCAACTTTCCGTGTCACCTCATGCCTCTAGAAAACGGCTTGGATGCGCTTTTTGTGGATTTCGCCGGTTCTCAGCCCCTGTAGGCCCTTTTTGGTACTCTGCTGGTACTCTTTTAATATCCAGGGGTGGATCCACAACTGCATCCGAACCGTTTTCTGGAATCCCGATGTTGGAGCTTCTGCCTTTGAGCCGGGGGACACAAGTGACATCAGGTAGGTGAGCTAAAAATTCCACCATGTCCCCACCTGTCAAAATCAGCACAGCATGTACAGGGAGAGCAAAACCTTCTGGAGTGGGAACACGCCGCACAATGCAGCCATTTTAGAACATTCCAAAATACATTGCTCAGGACCAAACCTTCAAGAACTCCGGGGCAGTCCCTGGTCTGAACGGATCGACCTCGCCCTACGCCCTTTGCTTACTCCTTACGGTCCCTACGCTTTGGGTGCCAAGAGGCGCGCCGAAAAGCTGGTGGAAATGGATCCCTGAAAGATCCGAAAGGCTGGATGAAACTTCACGCCAGGCCAAGTTGCTTCATGACTGAGATAGTCAAGCCCCCAATAAACGACTTTTGTCGGACTTTCTGGCCCCTTGTCATGTGAGCGCCGGCAAAATGACTTGCTGGAAGAGGACATGGGAAATTGCCCCCCTAGTTTTTGCAGACAAGTTGGTTTGTCTCCCCCCCCACGTCCTCCTCAACCCATCAACAGGCAATAATTTTGTCAGAGACATATATTGGGTGTGGATTTGAATAGGGGTCCCTTCGGTGGACATCAAAATTCGGTGGGGATACATGGGGTTTTGGTAGCCAACGTCCAAGCCACCAAACCTCCATACTCAAGGCCGCAACTCTGCGAGCTTCTTGTGTGCTGTAGATCCCCTAGCAAAAAGTTTAACTTTTTGCTGGCTAAAAGGAAACATGAGGGGAATCCAAAAAGTTGAAGTCTAAAGATCCAACACTTGGCCAGTGACCAGCCCAAAAAAAGTGTACACTTTTTGGGCCACCACTAAAATAAAGGGAGAGCCACCAAGGAAAAAAGTGTAAACTGTGTCCACTGGCTGGGTGAGAATAGCAGCAAAGGCTTGGCGCCTTGGCATGGTCCCCACTCCAGGCGCAGCGGGGCGCCGTGCATGCCCCGCTCAACCTGCGGCGCCAGCGCCGTCGTTGGAGGGGGGCGTCCATTGACCTGGACTTGCCCCATTTTTATTTTATTTTTTATCTTTTTAAAGATGTTCCGAATTTGTTTCAGTTTTAGTCTACACTAAAACATGAAGTAGTGTTTGAGGAGACCCTTGGACCAATCCTCCCAGAAACTCTAAGTACAGGCATTTTCACGATTCGGGCACGATATCGAGATCAATCGCGCCCTTTTAGCATGTCATGATGATCGCCTCCTTCCAAGGACTTCATGTGCGAAAAACACCCGTTTCTTCGACAATGTCCAAGGGCAATAAGAAAAGCAGGTACCTTCTTGATGCTCTGGGCTTCAAACAAAGAAAAACATGCAAACTGATGTTCTGTCCGGAAGAAAGATCAAGGCAGGCCCTTTCCTTCCCCGAGCAAAATTCAAAGGCCAAAACATCACAGAATACTCCTATGAAAACTATTCATTTTCACCCGCAAATAACTCAGTCAGCCAAGGGCAATGCTGTTACCCACATGGGCATGGAACGATTCTCACCTTCTGAAAGAAATAGCCAAACCACTCGGGGAACTGTTTGTTTACTACTAAAACAGGCTAGTATAAAGTTTGAATGAGTCCCTTGCTTGTTGTGGACATTCAGAACACCATAGACACTTGAGATTTTGAGCGAACCTCAGATGAGGAATCCCAAGCAGCAATCATCAGAACTCCAGTTGCCAGGGAGAGAAGACCGAACAACAGTGTGGGTTGCTTGATTTTGAAGGGAACACCGCGAGTCAAAATCCGCAAATGTTGCAACCGTGCAAACCACGCCATGCAACCCCGTTGCATCTCAGCACGGAGAACCCATTTCTGCGATTCCGAAATGGGAATTCCATCCCCATGTCACACCCTCGTCCACCAAGGCCTTGTCAAGTGGACAGAAGACCTTTTCAGAAGGATGGCAGTCTTCCGAAGCTCTTCTGTCAGCTTCCATCCTGCAAAAATGGGGAGCTCTTATCGCAAGTCCAACCCCCCCCTTGCCCAGAATGAGTCAAAATCAACACCTACGAACATGGCATGCAAAGAACTAAGACGGCGGCTGCGCCCATTTCCGGTTGGTATTGTCCCTTACCCTCCAATTACCCGGGTTTTGAGTGCTCCAATCATCCGGCCTCAGTGCTGGTTCCGCGATTGCGCTCGGCATAGAAGAAGACCCAAATCTCCTCTTCGCCCCAGGCAATGCCTCGACTGTGGTTGCGGAATCCATTTTGCACAGCTCAGAAGCCCCGGAATGATTTTCGAGTCGCCTGATATCCGCAACCAAGGGATTCAACCATGTTTGCTTTTTTTAGGTGGCGCGAACCGGATTTCGTCCATAAACCCCACGGTTTCTGCTGATTCTCCGGCAAAAAAAAAGAAGGAAAAAAAAACGATGGATTCAACGACATGGGTTTCTTCGGGCCTGCGATTTCTTGATTTCGCCTTACACGAAGGCTAGGGAGACCCCAGCTCTGATCCAACAAGTCCGTGGGGCACACATGCTGCTTTAACCCCCCCTGTCCAATCTGCCCACTCCCAACTATCGCTATGCTTCGGTTTGACACGGCCCCTTTCAAACTATCTGCAAATGGTACTAGATTTGGGAACCAAAGCTTTGGCAACCCATTTGCAATCTTTACTGTAACTCCAAAAGCTGAAATAAGAATCGGATCCCCAAAGGATCTTTATCATGGCTTTCGCTCGTTTTGCCCCCGCTCGCTGACTTCGCAATAAAATAGGGCAGACACTCCTGGGGATGGACAAAATCCGGCACCACGACGCGAGGTTCGATGAGGCCCACTTTGAGTCGTTGCCGAGCGCCGGAGACTGGAGCTTCAGCAAAAGGGTGGGGTGGGGTGGGCAAAAGGGTGACTATTTTTGGAGGGTAGATTCTTTTTCGCTTTGTAGTTGGTACTCTGCAAGCATGGAACCGCCACTAGAACCAAGTCCGGGGGTCGGAGCTTCCACGGAAGCGAGGATACGGGGTTTGGGCTTTGCTGGGAAACAAAAGGAATCCGATGATTTTACTCGTCCCAGTCCAAATCCCGCCATCCTTTTGGCATGGCTCTGCGCTCGCTCCTTTTACAGGGAACCAAAAACAACCCAAACTCCAAAAAACCCTTCCCCCTGCAATGGAGGGTTCTGATGCTTAGGGCACCCGTTTTTGGGGATACCCTTCCGTTACCCATAATACTTGCATTCTGGGACACACCAGTAGAGCCGGCAAAGCCGGTGGGAGAAAGCATCAAACATATTATGATAACTTTGGTTATCTTTCTCTTTCGCATACTCTCTCTCTCTCTCTCTGTCTCTTTCCTCATGTTTATCTTTACATGTCTGTATTTGTATATTGTTCCTTCTCTTTCCCTCATCTCCCTTTACCTTGTTGAACATAGATGTATGGTTGTCTATTTGTTAGTTGTCTTCTTGACCGTTGTCGTATTTATCTTTCACTGTCATATTTCCATTCATCTATCTGCCCTGGCATCTACCCATATGTCTATCTTATCTGTTCTATCTATCCTATCTGTCGTATTTGTCTTATCTGTCTTATCCATCCTATTTACCTTATCGACCGCATCTGTCTTGTTCTTCTTATCAAATTATCTATCTTGCCTAGCTCTATCTCATCTATCTTAACTATCTACCTGTCTAATAAGGCGTTCTATGTGTTTGTGCGTCTAGCCTCTCGTCGTATCGTTCTATCTAAATACCTATCTCTAATCTCTCCTATCTACCTACCTTTCTTTCATTCTTTCTACCTATCTCGCTACCTCCCTGCCTCCCTACCTGCCTATCTATCCATCTTTCATATTTCATCTGTCTATCTAATCTGTCAATATAGTCTATCCATCTATCCATCGATGTATCTATCGATCTATCTATCGATCTACCCATCTATCTATCGATATATATATATATATATATATATTTATCTATCTCTTTCAGCCTGTCTAGCTATATACATATCCATGTATCCATCTATCTATCCATCCGTCCCTCCCTCCCTCCCTCTATCCATCCGTCCGTCCGTCCGTCAGTCCGTCCGTCCGTCCGTCCATCCATCCATCCATCCATCCATCCATCCGTCTGTGTATCTATCTATCTTGTTAGATATCTATCTACCGAGCCTACTCATCTATGTATCTATCTATCTATCTATCTATCTATCTATCTATCTATCTATCCATCGGTTCCACCGCAACTACTCACTCTAAGCAACACTTTGGACGCCGAATCCTGCGGATTCCACACCTTGTGCACCCTGCTTTCAACACGCTCTTCGCTCCCTACATGGATCTGCGTCACAACAGCCCCTGATTCAAGCTCAGCTGCTCTTGCACCTGGCAGCTGTCTCCGCCGGCTCTTGGATTACCCCAAAGGCAGCAAACGCCCACCGACATTTGCTTGGATGCGCTGCCCCAGCCTGCCATCGCCCCAAACCTAGGATTTAGACCTTTTCGACCATCATTTTAGTCGACGGAAAAAATGTGGCCACGATCCATAACCTATGGCTCCTTCTTGGGGTGGATGAACATCCATTTGCCACCTATTTTGATGTTCACCAGTGGTACAGGGTTTGGACCCACAGCCATGTAAGATGATAGTGACACGACAAAACACAACGCAAACTCCATGCTCCGGCCGGCGCGCTTCTTGTTTTTTGGGTCCCCCGGCGGGCGTCCATCGGGCCGTGCACCTGGCACGACGCGTCGGACGCATGGGCGGGCTTCTCACGAAAAACGAAGTGAAACCATGGGGAAGCCATGGTTTGCTGGAACTTGCGGAAGGGGAATCATCAGAAACCCCAATTTCTTTGGTGGTGCGAAATTGCGTCCATGCACAGTAGTGATGGAGAAAACCAAAAAGTACAAACAAAAAGTAAGTTACAGCTGAGTCTCGCCACCAATGCGGGTCAAACACCTGTCTTTACGGCGGTTTGATAGAATAGTGGCCATTTCCTGGATGACTTGGTGTCACCTGGAAAAAGTGTGACCCAGCGTGCAGTGTGCAGAGCCGGGGAAAAGGTGTTGATACCACCCCCCCATTCCATGCTTTATTGAGGGAGGGGGGTTGCTCCTAGAGCCCCTGGAAAAGGAAAAGAACAACTTTAAACCAACTTCAACCCAACCTGAAGATTCCTTCTCCGGCCTTTTCCTAGTAGGTTTGGGAGTGTTGGACGTTCTAAAGGGAATCTGGGAGTTTGGACGGCCAGAACCCAAAAACCGTCTTTTGCTGATTTGCGGGCGTTTGCGGGGTTTTGCGGGTGTTTTGCGGGTAATTACGGGCGGGGAAACGTAAAAAAGGACAAATTCTGCAATCTCAAGAACATATATGAGTTTTAGCAGTTTTAGCCGACTTCATGAAAAAACATCGATATTTAGGAACAGCAAGTTAAATACAAGAACTACCGGGAAATTCAAGGATAATGAATCTCCAGGAAAGGTGGTTTGAGGGTCGGAGCACCCTGGATGACTGCGCTAAAACGCGGCACACCCAAAAGATGTTCGTCTATCCTGCTTGCTTCCCGACCACATGCGCGCAAAAAGCTTAACATACGGGCTAAATGACTACACATCATCACCTCGGGATCGTGACTCGATTTGGCGTTCAAGTTCCCAACCTCATTGTAATCATGTGGGCCCTTATAGTATGGTGTTTCTTGCTTGCTGCAGGCGCCACCCCAACTAAAGGTGAACCTTGGACAGAAAAAAGGCCAAGTCACGCACCTGTAGGGTCAACCGTTTTGGAAGACCGATACAGGTTTTGGGCTAGTCCAGTTGCATCGGAGAACTTGGTGTGTTCATCGAGTCAGCTTCGAAGCACAGGCCATGGACTTTCGGAGCTGGGCCCCGGAGGAAATTTGGAAGGGCCCTTTTCTGCACGAGACATGGCCATGGGTCAAAAGCCAAATCGTACCCCCAGTGAACATCCAATCCCCACCAAAATGGGTTCTAGAATGGGTGGTGCACCTAATTACCCCAAAATGGTACCATTGGTTTTGACCCACAGCCACATGCATGTCCTTTTTGGAAACTAGACGGCAGTAGATGATAGAAGCGCAAAGTAAACCAGGAATCGCGCTCTTTTTCTTCGACCAAACCATTCAAAACGGAAACCTGTGGCGGCATTGCCACGGGCCAGGTACTCCGCTCACAGAAAAGGTGCAATGGTGTACAAGTCAAAGCTGGGTTGGTTTGCGGTGTGAGGCTACCCCTTCATGCCACCCCCAAACAACCCACCTGACCATGCGGCTGAAACCGCCAACGTTCTGCGCCGCTCGCCTCATCCAGGAATTGCCGGCCGGCCTGTGGTTGGCTGGAGGGTGTCTGCAGCTGTCGTGGGCGGTCCAAGAGTCTTGGGCTCCTCAGGGTTCATTTTTTTCCCTTGAGGTGTTTGGGGCAATCAGGCTTCTTTTTAGGTTCCTCAGGGTGCCCGGGAGTATCTTAGAACTTGGAGTTCCTTCCCTCTCCACGAAAACCGAACTACACCAAGCTTGGAGATACGCCCATTTGCGAAGGATATTTCCAAAAGCGCATCTTGCAAACAAAAGCGCTGGCTGTGAAGCACCCTGCACAACCTCCAAGTGAAGCAATTCTAACAACTTATATTTCCTGAGCCCGGCAAAATGTCTGGCCTTTCCGTTTACCAACAAAATGGCCTTCCCAAAAAGTGACTAAAGTTCGGGAAGTCAGGGAGTGAAATGACGTTGACATTGGAAAAAGCAACCTGAGGGGGTGTGCCCCCGAAGTACAGGATCCCCTCCAAGATGGGACACCCCGCCCCAACAAGAAATGAGGCACCCGCAAGGATTCTGTCCATCCACTGGGTCCTCCGGTAGAGAGGGCAGAACAAGGGTACCCTTTTGTCTGTAGTCTATTTTAGTAGGGGAACCCTCCCAAAAACAAGGTGAGAAAGGGCACCTAGCTGGGGGACCTAGACCATATCACAGAAGCTGGTCTTGCACCATTCAACTTTCCGTTTGAGGCATGGGCTTGGCTAAAAGCAACCGTTTTTGGCGAGGTCTCTTGAGAAGCGTCGGAAAGAGCTCACTTGCTTCAATTTGGTTTTTCGACCCCTGGAAAAAAATGGAAAACATCCAATAGTGAAATCGATTCCCTTTAAAACCAACAGGGGAAAATAAATAAAAACAAAAACATATTCATTTCGGCAAATGGAAGCTTGGGAAACGCAGGAGGAACCGGAATCCCCGAGCAAGATACGGGGCTTCGGATCTTCGAGCCGCCGGCACCCAAAATCCAGTTAAACTGTGGCATCGGATGGATCGACAACACCCTCTCCAAAGAACGGGACAAATCAAAACGGATGCGGGCGTTCATCAACATGGCAGTTTTTGCTTTGAACCGCAGCCTCTAAAAATTAGCTCAGATGGGGGGGAGGGGGTTTTGGAACCTCAGCCTCTAAAATTAGTTCACATAGGGGGGAGGGGGTTGTTCTCAAAACGTGGGGGACCCTTTTTGGTCGCGCATCTGGAAGCGCGGCAGCCGGCGCACGCCCCGTGCGCCTGCGTGCCCGGAGCAAAGCGGCAGCTCCTCGGCGCGAAAAAGCGCGCCCAAGCTGCCCAGGGAGGGGACCAACAAAGAGGCCTCGGGGAAACAAACACTAGATATATATATATATATATATATATAGAGAGGGAGAGACCACTGGTACCGGTGCTTTATTTCCCTGATTTGTTTTGTGTGTCTTTTTTTTGAGGGGGGGGAGTGGGGCGTTGGGGGGGGGGGTGGGAGAAGCTTTGCGAGCTGCGGTCGATTCCCCTCAAACTTCAAGCATGCTTCATCAGAGGACTGGCCCATCTCATCCCTGGTAAAGACAGGCCCAGAACTGGGTCCCATTCACTTAAACGTTCCTCGGGCCATGGCTTGATGAACCGCATCTGCTGACTGGAAGAGCTCCCCTTTGCATTTCCGGAGACCCCCATGTCAAAGGCCGATTGCATCGGTGAATACATGAGCCCAGGTGGCCATGTTCGACCCCAAGAAAGGGCTGATTTCCCATACTTCGTAGCTCACCCATAAACTGGGGCTTCATACCAGGGCGTCGTACGTGGCATCCAGCCTTTGACCCAAGGACAACCAGGAGGCCGAAGGCCGGGGCACCCGGCAGCGGCGGCATCTCCACCAGCACGTGGGCCTTCACCTGGAAGTCGCTGTCCAGGTGCGCCTGCGCTCGGCGCAGTATGGAGCTTGAGTGGGGGAAGGAGCGTTGGGTGCGACAGAGAGCGCCGAAATCAGAGCACACCCCAGAAGCTTGGTACATCCTCCGCTAGATCAAGGGCTAAGTCAAAACTTATTGGCTACTGCCTTTCCAACCATGGAGGACAAGACTGCAGCAGCTTGAACAGCCCTCCCATCCACTTCTTAGTCAGTTTAAATCATGTCTTTTGTTCCTTATTTTAGTCAAGGGCAAAGATGTGAGATGTTCTCAAACGTTAATCCAGACTTCCATGAGTGGGGGACAAAACGGCCGCGTACACGCTGAAGACTCGCTTCTTCCGGCCCGGCTCCGCGCCAGCACGAGCTCGTTCCGGAAGATGCGGGTGTCCATGCCTGGCGCTCAAAAGGAAGCTCGGAATTTTAACTGGGATGATCAAAGAACATAGATGAACTACCCTCCAAAGAGCACAATTCACAGGGTCCAGGTGTTCTAGGACCCCTCAGTCAGGTTCCATGTTAGTAGACGGGAGGGTAAGCCCTAAAATGAAGGACTACTCGCACAAACTCGCCGAAATCCTTGGCCTTCGCGGGGTTGACTAGGTGAACTGGGCGGTATCAATCTCTTAGCCAGCTTCCCGGCCAAAGGGCCGATGTGCACATAGACAATTGGCGGGAACCTCGCAATCGCTCACAATGGGCTTTTGCGTCTCTTCAATTTCCGAAACCAAATTCGAAGTTGGCACCCAAAAGGGACTTGGGAGCAACCTGACCCTGGATTCGATGTTTTTCATGGTGGAGCCGAAGACTCCTCTCCAAGTTTGAGCCCCGAAGCGCTGAGATCGTTGGGTCCAGGTGGCCTGTGAACCCCGTGGGCTCGCTGCAACTCTCGCAAAAGCTCGCGGAGATTCGAAGACGTCGAGTCCGGGGGCAAACATGATGCACGTTTTATTTGGCACAGCTGGCATTTTGCCCATGAAAACGGACGTCAAGGAGTGAGACCACACGCTTCGAATGCTCTTTGGGTTTCTAGGGATGAAACATGCCATGGTGCAAACTCCCCATGGTCACGCCCACAGTTTTCGTAGGACACTGGTTGCTTGGCAAGGGGTCCATATTTCAGGCCCAGGAGTATGCAAGTCTCACCATACCTGTCTATTGGGTTGGTGGCTTAAGCATCTTTCAGAAGGTCTGTTCAGCTATCTTCGCACGTAAGTCAAGAGGAAAATTAGGGCTTCACATATCCGAGGTCCCAAGGATCAGAGCACAGAACCCTTCTATCATCAAGCCCCCCACAACACGCCCAATTTGTCCATCAGCGGCAACACTGGATCATGAAGCCAACAACGACCCCAACTTCCATTTGGTCAAGACCCCTGGAAAAATGCATTTCCAGTGGTGAAATCGATTCCCTTTAAAAGCCAACAGGGGAAAATAAAGACAGCAAATGGAAGCCAGTTTAGTCAAGTGACATGTTACCACACATGGACCCAACTTTCGCCAAAGGCCCCAAGCAAATGCCCAGTGAAATCGATTCCCTTTAAAAGCCAACAGGGGAAAAACATATATATATATATATATACACATATAATTTATGAAAATAGAAAACACCAGCATAGACCCCAGATAGCACACCACGGCTACGAACCATGACGCAGCATTATCATGATGATGTAGACAGCACCATGATGATACCACAGCCACTGAGCATTGTGCGCTACAAACGCTCATACAACGTCCTAATGAGTTCAGCAGCATAATGATGATGTTGAGAGCATCATGCTGATACAGTCCTGATGAGTTCGACAGCATCATGATGATGCGGACAGCATCATGATGATGCGGACAGCATCATGGTGATGCAAACAGCATCATGCTGATGGTAAAGGAAGCATCATGATGATACCACAGCCACGAACCATCTTGCGACAGCATAATGAAATTCAGCATCAGCCTGATGTTGACAGCATCACGGCGCCACTACACCCACAAACCATAAAGCAGCAACGCAGTGACCCCAGTTGCATCATGACGTGGTTGGGAACATCATGACGATACACCAGCCACAAACCGTTACGCGCGAACAGCATCGACCAGCACCCCAAACTGCGTGCCCCTCCACCAGCACCACCCCAAACTGCATGCCCCCTAGCACCCGGCCGTCAAGCTCGCAAAACAGCATCCACCGGCAACCCAAACTGCATGCCCCCTAGCACCCGGCCGTCACAAAACAGCACCCACCAGCACCCCAAACCCAGCACCCGGCCGTCAAGCTCGCAAAACAGCATCCACCAGCACACCAAACTGCATGCCCCTTAGCACTCGGCCGTCAAGCTCGCAAAACAGCATCCACCAGCACCCCAAACTGCATGCCCCTTAGCGCCCGGCCGTCAAGCTCGCAAAGCAGCATCCACCAGCACACCAACTGCATGCCCCTTAGCACTCGGCCGTCAAGCTCGCAAAGCAGCATCCACCAGCACACCAAACTGCATGCCCCTTAGCACTCGGCCGTCAAGCTCAGCATCAGCAACTGCATGCAGCACACCAGCAGCACCAAACTGCATGCCCCTTAGCACTCGGCCGTCAAGCTCGCAAAGCAGCATCCACCAGCACACCAAACTGCATGCCCCTTAGCACTCGGCCGTCAAGCTCGCAAAGCAGCATCCACCAGCACACCAAACTGCATGCCCCTTAGCACTCGGCCGTCAAGCTTGGAAAGCAGCATCCACCAGCACCCCAAACTGCATGCCCCTTAGCACTCGGCCGTCAAGCTTGAAAAGCAGCATCCACCAGCACCCCAAACTGCATGCGCCCTAGCACCCGGCCCTCAATCTCGCAAATCACTTTCCACTCTTTATTAGAAGTTAGAACCCCTATAGCTTTCAGCTATCTGGGGAAAAAACATGTTCAGTGAAATCGATTCCCTTTAAAAGCCAACAGGGGAAAAACATATATATATATATATATATACACATAATATATATATGTGTATATATATATAAAAGAAAAAAACATGTTCAGCCAATGGAAGCCCACTTGCCGTCGACTCCCCAGCTCTCCCTCCCCCAAGCTCGCCAGCTCTGGGCTCCGAAATCTGGGCCGCCGGGCTGGACTCCCGGGACACCCGCACGCTGGGGCACCCGGGCCTCGGATCGCCCGAAGGGGCCGCGGGGCGAAAAAAAATTGGGTGCCCAAAATCGAACCCAAAGGCAAATCTGGGGGCAAATTTGGGGGGTGAGTGCCCAAAATTTGGTCCAAATGCCCAAAAATTTGGGGGTACCAATGGCCAAAAAGACCAAAAAAATTGGGGCCAAAAGGCAAAAATCTGGAAATTGGCTCCTGGTCCGAATTCTTTTCCACCATGCTTCTGTTTCGAGAACCGCCGGTTTGCCTGGACTTCGCGAGGAGTTTTGGAAAGACGGATCCCTAGCAAGAATGGGAAAGGTACCCCTGGAGCTGTCCTCAAAACCCCCTGCTAAAAGTGAATAGCTTTCAGTGTGGGTTAAATTTGGCGACACCACCAAACACTAAAGAGCTTTTTTAGCTAAGGAACCTGATGGCTGGCCTTGCCACCAAGAAAAGAAACTGAAGGTTCCACGTTAATTTGCAGGGGGCTGCGAGGGTGCGTTTGCTTGGTTCCCCCGTTTGGCTGGCTTGCAAAAGGGGTCGTTCAGTGAGTCGTCTTCATCCTTTTTGGAGGGCTTGCCCCTGTTACGAGAATTACAAATTTTGGAGTCCCCTCAGTCCCCTCATTCTGAAACAAATGCAAATTCGAATGGCCAGCTCTCAAAAGGATGAAGCAAAAAAGCAGAAGGGCTTTCATATCGTGAGAAGGGACGTCGCCTCTCATAAGTGCGCTCGGCACCTTAAGAATCGAGCTGGGAGGACTCAAACCCCCAACCTCCGCCCCGTACTCACGGACGGAGCCACGCTGGCATTGCGCGGCAAAGCGCTACGATGTCTGGGAACATGAAGCAAAATGTGGGAAACATCTGGGAACACGAATCAGGGAAGCCTGGGCAAAATGTGTTTCGCTTTTTGCTTAAAAGCGGCAACCGTTGAGCTCTTTGGTGCTCAAAGTGGGAGCTGAACGAGCCATTCTTTGGTTCCACACCGCACTGCACTTCCAGATGCGGTGCTGTCTCAAAATATGGGCACTCATGGGTCTCACCATCGCAAATGGAAGTAAAACTGGGCTGTCCTCACATCCCCTGCTAAAAGTGTGACTTTCAGTGGGTTACTACCTTGGACCCCCCCAAGCCCGAGAAAAAAGAAAGAAACCATCTAAAAAGCCAAGGAACCCTTGGACCCCCCCCCCAAAAAAAAAAAAGAATCTAGGGAACCAGAACCACCAAGTACAAGTACGCAGAACGATCTCCAGTTGCACCATGGACCCCCGGACGAAGAAAAAAACTCTGCGAGGCCCGCGGTTGGAGGCCCCGAGGCCCCGAGGCCGGTGCCCGTTGGACATGCGCAGCGCCACCAGGAAGGAGCCGTCCTGCAAGGCGAGCCTCGCTGGATACCGCGGGAGGCCGTAGATGGTAAAACTGAAAGGGCCTGGAACCAAAAAGTGAACAGCTTTTGGGGCCGTGGCCAAATATGGCTCGAAAGGTCTGCTTTGAAGAACTGAGAGTTTCTGGAAAACCGTTCGGATTTCTTTTTTTTTACGTGGATTTTACCCGGTCTTCCCCCTGTTGGTCCTTTTTTAGTCACCTAGTACTCTTATCATATTCTACAAACGTGGATCCGCAGAGTCGCCACATCCAAACCCTTTCGCACCAACGATTGGTGGTTCCTCCCAGGGCTTCATGGGTCCATGCAAAGTGGGTGTTGTCCATCCGGTATGAAAGCTGAGCTGGGCTTATTGTCCATTCCATTGTCGAGCTGGCATACTGTATCCATACTGGGAATGAAAGTACATTCATGTCAAAGCTGGGTACAAAGTGGGTGGATTCATGAATCTCGCGCTCGAAAGACAAGTGAAAGGGTGCCGGGAAGCCCCAAACACCCATACAAGGGAATTGATTGCATTTTGGGTTGCTTGTTCGGCTTGGGAAATGTCGAGGCGGATTCCCACCCAAAGGCTCATGAACTGAAAACCCATGTGGGAAGCTTGGGCACCATCCCAAAATTGGGGGTGGGGATCGTTCCATGATCAAAATATGTGGGGTGGGCGGAATGACCACAGACCAAACCTCATATCTGATTGTGATGCGCTGATGCACACCTACCACATTACGGCATCCCCTTTTTGGGGCACGGGCAAATTTCGTCATCAACGGTTGCTCTCCTGAAGTAAAAATAACACCCAACCACCAACCACCATTTTTAGACAGTGTTTCATTTGCGGGCAGGTCCCTGTTGAGCCCCATGTTTGCAGGGACTGGTGCCATCCCCGAAAATCATTCTCCCTGCAAAACGGGGAACTGGTGTTGAAACGTCATCAAGATGTGACATTTCAACCGCGCGGGACAAAACTGGCAACCCCCCCCTTTCGGGGCACTTAACTTTACACAGACCCTGAATCCTCAAGAAATCCACATCAAGTGTGATTGTAACAAGCCGTGTAAATTGAAGTGAGTGCTACGGCGCACGAGACAAACCCAAACCCATCCCTTTCACAAGATAAGCATGTTACAAAAGTCAAACACCCACTGAACCCTTTTAAGGGATTCGACTCGATCCAAGGAGCGAGTTTTTCTTGAGCCAAAGATGCAAGGCTGCAGTTCAGGGGAGGCTTTATCTTATGCGACTGTGTCTCATTAGCGTTGTAAGCAATTTTATGATGCAATGCCTGCACGAAGCTGTTGCCATTACTGCAAGCATGCATTATCACAAAGGAGTGCGCGTATTTCCACTCCCCCCTCTTTGCGCGCTGGCAGTACTATACTTAAGAACCTCAAGACAATTTGTTCCTTTTGGCGTGCTTCGTCTCTTTGGGATTGGCAGGCTCAACACTGGCAGGCGCCTCTGCTGGCACGATTCCAACAGGATCGCAATTTGAGCTACACATCTGTGTCTGCACTTGCAGCGCCGCTTCCATCTTGAAACCGGTCATGTTGGCTTCTACGGATCGTGGATGTGCCACGGAGATGAATCGCATTGGCGCACTTATGCGCTTCTACACCTTTTGTAAAGATGTCCGCACGTTGGTCCTCGGTCTTCACATGCGGAAGAGTTATGTTCTGTTGATCTGCTGAAGATGAGAGGTTAACTGTAGGAGTGCGCGAGATACGCCGTTGTATCCTGCCCTCACCACTTTCTCAGCTGCCTCATTTTCTTCATATATGATTAGATCAACTTCTCCATGATGCGCCATTGAACCCTACTAGTCTTAGCCAGGCCACTTTACAGCCGGGAGCTGTACGGCTGATAACCCGCTGAATCCTCAAGAAATCCACGTCACGTGTGATTGTAACAAGAGAATACCAGATGCCGGCCTCGAGTACAGTGGTGTTGAAACACAAGCCGTGTAAAGTCAAGTGAATGCTATGGCGCACGAGACAAACCCAAACCAATCCCTCTCACAAGATAAGAATGTACCCAGCGGGACCTTTAAAGGGATTCGACCGGACCCAGGGAGCGTGCTTTGTTCTTGAGCCAACGATGCAAGGTTGCAGTACATGGGAGGTATCCTCTTCTGCGACCCCTATGTCGTGCCGTTTCCCATTAGTGGCAAAAGCAAAGCTATGATGCAATGCCCGCAGCAAGTTGTTGCCATGACTGCAAGTATGCGTTTAAACAAAGGAGTGCGGGTATTCTCATTCCCCCCCTCCAAAAAACAAAACAACAACAACAGGAGAACGGGGAAAGAGGGGCACTACTCGAGGTTGGAGTAATTAGGCTCCCCGGCACGGAGGGATTGAAGAGAGGCACCTCAGCGGAATCCAGTGGCTTGCTGGTGAGTTAAGAGGCGGTTGAATTCTCCAGGAACATCCTCGCGTGGCAGCCCCCAAAATGATGGCGCTCCTCTTGGTGTTCCTTTAACGCCTTCTTGCAGGTTTGCCTTCTTGCAGGTTTGCCTACCAAAACGACCAAAAACACGGGGGCGCCCTCCAAAAGGACACGGCACGCCCCGTTCGCACCCGGAGGTCTTTGGGAGGAACGGGGCCCCCGGCGAAGGCCGGGGCGCGGGAGAACCAGCCCGCGGGCGCGGAGAGGCTCCGCATGAGCCGCGCGCTCAGCGTCTGGCGCGAGCGAGCCGCGCTTCGGGGGCCCCGAAACGCTCCTTTGGCTTGGCCTCCCACCAATGAACACATGGAGCGCCGTAGCAGGGACCGAACCTCATGTAGAATTTAGGGGGGTCCTGGATGAATGCGTTCCGAGCCGTGCTGCTCTGTGTCTGGCTTTGTTTGGAAAACCTTGCCCAGAACCTTGCCGGATTTCCTGGAAGAAAAGAATGAGCACGAGTAGGACTTCAAAGGAACAACCTCTCCACACACTGCAACAAGGAGAACACCGCTCGGTGTCGGGGTCTTAGAATCCAACTTCCGCCCAAGTTGTTTGGTTGGCTGGGTAGGTTTTGAGGCAGGGTTCCCTAGTGCGACTAGCTCCCTGGTACTCCCTACGAGGCGCATCTCGAATGGTTGCCAACTTCACCTTTCTTTTGCTGCAAGTTTTTTTGTTCAAAGGGAATTTATCACTGCTGGATTTTGTTTTAATGTTCCCTTGTTGGTTGTAAAGGGAATCGATTTCACTACTGGACATATATATATATATATATATATGTTGTTTTTCTTTTGTTTCCAGGGGTCGAAGCACCAAATTGAAGTTTATGGTGTTTGCTTCTCTTCCAAGAAGGGGCCGCAACCAACCAACTCGAAGGGCAGCAAATCCCTCAGGCAGGTTTTAGCAGGGGTATCCCTATTTTTGACGGTGGTTTCTGGCAAATCCTTTTTGGAACACCGGGAACCACGAAAAAGGCGAGAATCACCCTTTTTGAGGGCATCAAGTTTTTGTTCAGGGCATTGTAGTTGTTCCCTATGTGGTTCCTAGGTGAATCCCCATTCTACTCACAATGAATCTGGTACTGCACGTGCCCTCCGAATGGGCCAAAGATTGGTGAGGGCGCAACGATGTTTCGTCCACGGAAGCCCAAAGAAAAGTCCTAAAGCCTCCTCAGAGATCAGCTTTAAACAACAAAAACACATTTCAAATGGAAGGCGGAGAGACATAGGTGTCCTTTATGGAAAATAGATGGGTTTCCCTGGTAGATGATGGAACCACCAGATAAAACAAAAAGGAATCGCCTTCTATTTTTAAGCAAATGTAAGCGGCGCTCTCGGCTTCGCCTCACGGCCGCTGCTCCGCAGCATGCCGGGGTAGCGGTGCCATAAGAAGTTCTCCCTCGGTGGCTTCAACTTTTGGCCCAAGCCAAAGTGGCATAGGTGACTAATATTCTACAAAAAACAACACTTATTCTTTACATATACCACCTCAAGTAAAAGCACAACTGTCATTGCGCGGTGCGTGAGCTGGCATCCGGAAACATCTTGGGAGGTGAGCGAGCGCTTTAGCCCCGGATCCAACAGCTCGCGAGCCATCGGCCGTCTTGGCATTGGACTTCAACATGAAGATGGGGACAGAGCCGGTGTTTGACGCGCCAAAATGATTGAATACAACGGGGGAGATCAACGCGTTGATACTAAGCCAAGATGAAATTTATACACGAAACACATACCAGAACAATCATAGGCGGCCTTTGGGAAAAATAAATGGGTTTCCCTGGGAAATGCAAGAAAACCCATCTAAACCAGCGCCATCTATTTTTAACCAGGCTCACCTAAAAAGCACACCTATACAAACTGGTTCCCCCAAGAGCCACGGCCATCTTCTGCAATCCTGAGGGGTGGTTTGGGCTAGGTTCCTTGAGGGTTCCAGGGTTCCAGGGTTTCTGCGAAGTTCTGGAACTGTTAGAGACACTCCTTGGAATCCAAAATAAAAAGCATGGGACCTTCCCCCCCCTTCCCTGTGAAGCAGAAGGGGGTATGCCTCCAAATCCTCAAACGGGGAAAATCCTTAGGGTCTTGGGTCAGCTGAGGTACCACTTTTTGGCACTGGCTGTCTTAGGGGACCATGAATCGAGCGTTGCCTTTGGACACCGTCTCCAAAAAGATCGCGGGCCCCAACAAAACGGCACTCCCAACTAGATGTGCGAGCCACAATCTCCCGTTAAAACCAATTGTTCCTATTCCCAGCAGGAGGGCGAACAGGTCATTCAGAAGCGATCATATAACCTGCCAGCCGTGAGGAGTCTATAGACTAAGAAATGCTGAGCTCTTGTTGATGTGTATATATATATATACGCAGATCAATCACTAAAATAATATTCCAAAATTGCGTAAACACAGAAACCAGTGAAGTGCCTAGAGGGAAACCGAAAGGAAACCGGTCACTACTGCGACGGAAGCGAAAGGGCTGTAGCCCCCCACTGTTTGCGGACCTGAATCGTTCCTATCAGGTTCACACTTGTGCCATCAAGAGATCTCAGCATGCGACTGCCGAGCGCTCTTGTGTGGCTCCCTTGAGGATTCCAGAACTGGGCCAGACTTGCAGACTTAGCCCCTGTGAAAAGATTGCCTTTTGCTGCCTGAAATTGAACCTCAGAATGGAGGGAACCCAGCCCCAAGAGACAATTTTGAGACCCCTCCAAATGTTCACTTTAACTGGGCTGTCCTCAGATCCCCACTAAAAGTGAATAACTAGTGGGTTAAATTCGGAAACCCAACCACTAAACACTAAAAGCAAAAAAAAAACAACAAACAACTAGTGTGTTAAAATCGGAAACCCAACCACTAAACCAACTAAAAAGCTAAAAACAAAAACAAAAACTAAAAACACCTAAAAAACCAAAACAAAAACCTTGGAAAAAAAAGGAACCGGATGGCGGGGCTTGCCACCAAATCAAGGGAAGGTTGACGACGGAGCTCAGGCCCCGGCTTGCGCGTGGCGTGGAACTCGTCTACGCGGAAGATAAACTGCTCCTGCGGGAGACGTCTACAAACATATCTGTTTCTGTGAATCTCTCTATATATGTTTCTATGTGTGTTCCATTCCCCAACCCCCCCGTCCCAAGGGTAGGGTCCCCCCCCCAAAGCACCCGGATCCCCACACCCGCTGCTACGGTCCCCAAGACCCCCTCCTCAAGCCCTGAACTCGCACCCTTGCATCCCGACACGTAGGACAACTCAACCCACAACCAACCCCAAACCCCAACCCTAAACCAATCCTACCCTTAACCCGAAGCCTAAACCACCCAAAATCAACCTCAAACCAACCCTAAGCCAACCCAAACCAATCCAACACCCACCAAACCCACTGTAAACCAACCCTTAACCAACCCTAAGCCAACCCTAAACTACCCCTATACCCACCCTAAACCAACCTGAAACCACACCGAAATCAGCCCTAAGCCAACCCTAAACCCACCCAATACCCACCCTAAACCAACCCTAAACCAACCCCAGGCCAACCCTAAACCAACCGTATACCCACCCTAAACCAACCCTAAACAAACCCAAACCACACCCCAACCACCCGCCCAACCACCCAACCCCACCCCCCTGCACAGGGGGGGGGTCCACGATCGAACATATATATTCCCCCCCCCCAAAAAAAAAGGGAAACAACATGAAAAACAATATCAAATAATAAACACCATATGTGTATATATATATATATACATATATATATATACATATATATATATATATATATATACATATATATATATATATATTATATATATATAACACCTGAAGTAAGGGACCCCCTGCAATTGCGAGGTGCTTGAGCTGGCATCCGGAAACATCTTAGGAGGTGACAAGCGCTTTAGCTCCGGATCCAAAAGCTCGCGAGCCATCCGGCGTCTTGGCATTGGACTTCAATATGAAGCTGGGCAAAGAGCCGGTGCTTGACAAGCCAAGATGAGTTGATACTAAGCCAAGCTTAAATCAATACACGAAGTACATACTAGAACAATCATAGGTGGCCTTTTGGAAAAATAGATGGCCCTGGTAAATGGAATAAACCCCATCTAAACCAGGGCCCTCTATTTTTTCAAGCAAACCGAGCCGAAGAGGACCCAGGTGGGGGTCCCTTTCAGCCTGTTCCATGGAGTTCGTGCCAAATGGAGGGTTGGCCTGATCCCGAATCCTAGCTTTGGAATCACTTAATTAAAAGAAAAATAAAGTTGAGGAAGAACAAATTCACAGTCTATCTTGACAGAGCAAGGAGCACTTGTATTGCTTGGTTTGCTGTTTGAGTCTTGTCCGACACAGCCAAAAAGGGAGACACCACCTGGTTTAAATTGCTATTTCCAAACCTGAAATAAAAGAGTCCCCAGCAAAGGCCCTTCATGGATAATTTCCTTGAACAAACATGTCAAGCCCTGCTGGCAGGTTTCTCATAACCAAGCCACAACCATTCCACAATGCGGGCTTTTCTCAAAGCAGGGGATCCTTATTAACAAAATTATGGGGAGCCTCTTTTGAGTCATCCACCAAGGGGCTCCCTGTTTTGAGCAACGCCCCTGTCCAATCCCTCCCACTAACCATGCGGCCAGGAACAGCAGGGCTTCGCTCGATGAGCGTCCCATTTTGCACTGAACTGGCCGAATTGTTGTTTGGATGCCTCCCATGTCCCCAGAATATGGGCCGACTTGGTTGGAGAGAGGTACGCTTAGAGCATTCGGCTGGGTGAGATGGAGAAGGTGTTGAATGTGTCCAAGCGGATTTCCGGCACTTCAATCAACCAGCCATTTTGGGGGGTCCATTAAAAGCAAAACACTTGGCGGTTTGGGGATTTGAACCTCAACCTCTAAACCACTGGGCTCCCACCCTCACTCCCTACAATAGTTGGTGGCTTGAATTCTGGCGCTTGCCTGACGCTTCCCAGAATCATCCGAAACCCATAGAGACAAGAGCGGCCATGGAATGTGTCCAAGAAGAACGAGTGAAGAGATTGGGGCATCACCCCCTCCATTTGCAGAAGGCCTCTGGAACAAATAAAATATGTCCAGTAGTGAAATCGAGTCCCTTTTAACCCAACGGGGTGAAATAAAACATATTCATTTCAGCAAATGGAAGGTGAAGAGCTTGCAGCCATTGCCAGATGCGCCTCGTACGCCTCCTCAGAGATGAGCTTGCCCTGCCGCAGCTCGGCCCGCACCACCTGAAAAACGCCGACGGAGGACGCCAACTTCTCAGCTCGGGTGGGAGTTCCATGGGAGACAAAACGGGGCAGCCCACCGGGCAGGTAGCTTTCTTCTGCTTGAAATCGAAGTAGTTCCCAAGCAGAGGGACGCCAACAGGCTTTTCTGCTTGACTTCGAAGTGCTGGGCCCTAAGAAGCAGAGGAAAACATCAACAGGGAGCTGAAAAAAAATAGGGCAGTGCCCTTCGACTTGGGTTCTATTGCCCCCTTCGGAAAAATCCTGACCTGAAATTTTGGCAGGTAGGATCCAAAATGTCACCCCCGAAAAAATCCCATCGGGCAGGTCCCATTTGTTGTGAAAACTCAACGGACTTACCTTAGCAAGGCCTTATTTCGGTGTACCACTGAGAACTGTGGTTTTCCTGCTGGTGTCCCTCTACACAAACCTGAAAAGGGTACCCTCCCTCCAAACACGTATCACCTTCCTTTAGGTTACTGTTGTTGTTTTAGGGTTGGCTGCAAAATAGACTCTAGTGTTTAAGCGTCCATGGCACCCCCCCCCCCCCTCAAAAAACAACAATCACAAAACATGTCAACCTGCTAAAGCAAAGAAACCATTGTTACACTTTAGACTCATAACTTCCCAAAAGGCGATATGGCGATATGGCATTAAGTTTATAGTATGATTCTTCCAAAACTAAACAACTGGTTCCCCCCTTTTTTTAACAGGGTCCCCCAGCCCCAAGACAAAACACACACAAACACACACCATGTCCACCTGCGTATGGCTCAAAAATAGGTCCAAAATAAAACCCTGGTACATGAACAGGTAGACTAAAACCGTCGTAACCCCAGCTGTTAAATTTTGAGCCACACCCGAAACGAGCATTCTTCAGCCGCCGCGCCGCCGCGCCTGGGAGACGAGCACCGCCTCCAAGCCTGAAGCTCTCTCCACCACCACCTTCGCTCGGTCGTGGCTGAACCGGTGAAGCGACGGACCGACGGACCGACGCGGTGTGTTTTTCGGGGACTGCAAATTGGGGGGTGGGCGTCCTTTTCAAAACCACCCAAAAAAGGGGTCCCCTCAAACCACACACACAAATGAACCCACAAAGAGCATTTGGCCCTTGAAACCCAGATGTAAAGGGCACATGCACACCAACACTCACCCATGCTTGCTCTCCCTTGAATATGCATGCGTCCTTCTTTGAGGAGGTTGGTCTTAAAGGACACCGCTTTTGAAGGTCCTCTTTCTAGGCTGAAAGGGGTGCCTTACAAACGGTCATACTGTGGATGGACGCAATCTTGCACCACTTTGAAACCATAGCAAACCATTGTTGGTTGGTATTTACAGGGGAAGCATCACCCCAGGGTTTTTTAGGTGGCGCAGGATTTCGTCCATCCACAGTAGGTGAGTTTTTGGTGTGAACCCCAAGTTGCTCGACCAAGTATGGCCTGATTCTGGGAAGCAAAGGCGCCCAAAATGGCAACGGGTTCTTTCACGCAATCAGCCGCGCAGCCGGGTCAGGGTCGCTTTGGGGCAGATGGGGGCGGAGGGCGAGCCGTAGGTTTTCCCAAGCTGAAAGCTTTCGGCTCTTTGCCCTATGCTCCGCAGTGGTTTGGAGCGGCTTCGGGCTAGAGTTCCAGAAGGGTTCCGGGGAGTGCTTCTGGGGATACCTGGGCTTCTGTGAGTGCTGTTGGGAAGCGGTCAAAGTGAACAATCCGAGGTGCTCTGAAAAATTACTGGTGGGACCCGGTGGTTTCCCTTTAGAGCCACCATCTAGCCAATGTGAGAATATCACTTTAGTGGACCCAGAAAAAAGAAGAGGTTCCCGAAGAGGAGATTCCTATAGCAATGAACAATTCATCTGTTTAGATTCCCTGCGAATCCCTCTCCCAAATCAAATGCTGGTGTCCTTCGCATCTGGTGGAAAAGGCCAGGCTTCAAAATGGCCAAATTGACTGCAGCAAGGGTCGTGGGACAAAAGCGGTGGCTTCTCTTTGGCGAACCCTTTTCAGCTTGTATCCAAATGAAACCCAGAGGACAACCCCCCCATTTTGGTGCTTTCTTCCACACATACCCAAACGAGGGGACTCCCAATAGTTTGTTTCCTTTTGATTTCCTTCTATTTGCTTTTCTGCCCCCTGAAAAACCATACACATATGCCCAACGAAATCGCTTCCCTTTGAAACCAGAAGGCGGGCAAAATCAAACCATCTTCCTTTCAGCAGATGGACCTGACCCTTAACCATCCAAATGCTGGGTTTCCGTTAAGGGGACAAAAGCCTGGGCTTACTCTGACTCAACCAACCACATTTTCTGAGCACCTCCAAAAGATTCGACCGCTCGAAGACCAATCCGCGAAGACCAGCTCGACCAGCTCCAGCTGCTCCAGTCCCTTCGTTCAGAGCGTGTGGGGCGTGTCGACGAGGACGGTGTCGACTTTGCCTTTGCCTTCGGGGCAACGCGCGCATGGCACGGGTGCTATCGTCAAAGCTGTCTTGCGCTCGACGACCGGCTTAAGCAATTGTTGCCCCCACCCAGCCACCCGACCCTCACCCCCCCCCCCCAACCACCCCACCCCACCCCACCCCACCCACCCGCGCCACCCCAGCCACCCGCAAAGCCGCGGACGCGACCAAACGGCGCGCAACAAACCCCCCCCGAAGTTGTCGGGGGCCCCGGGCGGCGCGGATGGGCGGCGGCTCCGCGTGGCCCAAGGAGATGCCCGCGAGGCCTCGAAGGCGGGGCGGAGGACTGTTTCGGGGCAGAAAAACCGGGGCGACCGACCAAAAGGGGGGGAGGTCGCTGTCGATTTGATCTGCTTTAGGTCTTAGACCTTTGAAATGTAGTGAATAAACGTGCTTTGACTGGCGGTCGATGGAGGGTCTCTCACCTTTTAGTAGTTGATTTAGGGAAACCTCCCAAAACAAAAACACACCTCAAGCCCTATAGAGGGCTCCAAAACATATTGGAAAAAGGGCTCGCAAACCACTGGGAATCGGTGGTTTGGTGGTTAGGGTTTGGTGGTTAGGATTTGGTGGTTCTTTACATTGTCGGAAGGGCCAGTTCCAAGAATTGGCGTGTTTCCGTTGGCTTCCTTTCAAACCAGCGCCTGTTTATGGAGAATCCCTTGTATGGTTTGGCAAGATTTGCATTCGGAGGTATGGAGGTTCAAAAGGGGCACATGCTTGTTCAGCAACAGGCCAGAACCCAGTGACCCAGCCACCTTGGATGAAACAAGCAACCCGTTTTGGAGTTGCCTGCTTTTTGGTATGGGACTCAAACAAAAAGGGAATTTGAGGTAGAGTCACTGAACAACTGGGTATCTGAAAGCCCATACTATCAGGGCACCGGAACTATCGCTCACAATTTAACACCGAATGGAGTCGTCGTGATCATAGGACATTAACCTGTGTAACAGTGCAACTACTCAGCGGACCCAAAAGTTGGCGCTTTGTCCTGCTAGTGTCCCTTTAAACCATGTGTGCGCGTGTGTCTCTCCAAACCGGTAAGGCAACCCGGCCGTCGCTGCTGTGCAGGAACACCACGCCGCTGGCACCAGCCTCGCCGGCACCAGCCGTGCCACGAAACCGAAGCTTGGGTGCTGTAGATCCCGCAAAAAGTTGTTCGCTTTTTGCGGGGTGAAAGGAAATATGAGGGGAATCCAAAAAGTCCAAAACGTTGCTAAGTCTAAAGATCCAACCCAGCAGTAGAGAAAGGGGACCTTGATGTAGGACTCGCGTCCAAAATCCTATCAGCTTCCAGAGAGGTTTTGCCAGGGTTGAGATCACGGATAACCAAACAGATCACGGACCCTGGCATTGAAACCATTGTAACCGGGGGGGGATATCCCTTCAAAACTTGATCTTTGAAACCCCGAACCCGTGTAAAACGAGCGGTCTTGCAAAAAGAACCGCTAGTGGTCGGGGATGTGATGGAAAACCAATCAGGGTCTGCCTCGATTCTCCCTTCAAAACCCAAGCCAAGGGAGTATAGTTCCCGATGTCCATAAACTGGAAAAACAGCCCAGTCAGGGGAAGGCTCGAATAAGGTCAAGTTCAAGGAGAACAAACGCCTCGCCCCCCATTCATCCTTTGGTATCCCTTGAAATGGAAGACAGAGGGCCTCCCCACCCCAAAAGAAAATGAGCCCCAAAAGGTCAGGTCAACCATCCTTTGTCCGGAGGGTGACAGGGGATCTCCCAGCCCAAAAGCAATTTTTGAGCCCCAAGTGCAATACAATGGAGGCTTCAATGGACCTGGGGCACCTTCACAATGCCACCGCCCTTGAAGGCAAACAGGTATATGTCTCAAAATTGGGTGACCGCAATAAAAAGCTTGTGGTGGTCTCAAAATTGGGAGAGCTTGTATCAAAACAGGCGACCCCAAAATTGGGTGTCTCAAAATTGGGAGAGCTTTTGGTTGTCCTTTTCGCTTCCCTTTCGACCAACCTCAAAGGGCACCCTCGACAAGGGCCCGTAGCTCACTTGAGTGGATTGGCCTTACAAGAGGGTGCTCACAATAGGAATGGCTTCACTTGACCAACCAAAAAAGGTTCCAAATCCCTCTTGAGAAACACTCACAAAGACTCACGGAGTGATTTTTTCGCACCCTTTACGTTAACCTTCTTGTAGGCAGTTTCCCTCATCTTGCGGGGATGGTTTGTGGGGTTCCTCTGCAACCCAGGCCCCGAGTACCCACGGCCAAAAAACAAACGGGACACTCTCTTTCTCACAAATTCGAGAAAATCGTTGACTTTCAAGGGAATCTTCGCCGCAAAAAAACATGAGCCAAAGGCCTCGCACCCCACGAAGCGCTCGGTCTGGGGCAAGGAAGGTTTCGGGGGCCCAAGGCGAGCCTCCGCCAAGCGGTGGGTGGTTCGGACCAAGTCCTCGCGTGAGATCCCGGTGGGAAAAAAACCCAAGTACCGCGGTGCTTTGGGCAGGGCTCGTGGTTGACATGAAATCCGCTGTGATACAACCAAAGGACTAACGGTTCTTTGGGCTGACCACTTCTGCGATATAACAATTGGCCTCCCAAAGACTCACCCCCCATATAAACAAACAGGAGATGCCCTTGTATCAGGGATAAACCCCTTGATCCCACAATCCTGTTCTTGGGCCCTTACACCGAAATAGTGTTTTGGATGGGTGGTTTGTTTGGAGGCGGGGCAGCTTCCCACTAGCCCAAGAAGCAGGGGTTCAAATTCCTAAGCCACCAACCCAAATCACCAATTGGGCGAACCTGACCTCCTTTAGTATGTTTGGAAACACTGGATTTTCAGAGTTTAATGCCTCCAGTTTCGACATCACGCCTTAAACAACCGGGTATTTGGAGTAGGGGATATGCTTTGCTCAGGTGCAACTCACAAAAATGGGACCCCACAACCATCTTGATTCCAAAAGCCTTCTGGTTCTCAGTAGGGAATCAACAGGAGTGTTGGCAATGAACCAACGGATTCTCTTAAAGGAGACAGACCACAAGCAATCAAGGAATGCTTCAGTTCAGGGTCACTTCATTCACTGCTGAGAACCAGCAAGGAAAAGGAAGCGGAACCTCCAAACCCTCGCAAAAGGATCACCTTTTGGGTTTCGTGGAGAAGCCGTTTGTTTCCCAGTCTCGCCCGGAGACTTCTTCTGGTCACAAGGGTCTATGGCCCCCAACAGTCCTCGCACACGGCGGCCGCATCCACCAAAACCTTGCTCAACGGATGAGAAATCCACAGGCACAAGTTGGGGTTGGCGGCTTATGCGTAGTCACGGGGTGTCATCCTTTCCAAAGTATTTGAAATTTCGCAGGGATTTAGGGCTTTATCCAACTGATGCCTGGCGTGGATTCTATCCATCCACTGTCCTAAGGTGCCGACTTTTGTTTGTACGAGATGGACCCACACCGACACCCAACGAACGCCAGCCACCAGTGAGTCAATGCCTTACTTGGCGTCCAGTCGCTTACTCCAAGGGAAACCCACTTCAAGTTGGCAGCGCTAGGAAGCCCTGACCATGGCGTGAAAATACCTTCTGGGCTAAACAGCGGATGATTCAACTCCAAATGTTGACGTTGCTTTGTTTTCCCTATGTGAAACCAACTGTTCCAAATCTGGCTCCTGAAGGCTGCAGTTCCCACCAAATTGCTCCTGAAGGCTGCAGCTCCTTCTTAACTGGAGACCGCAGTCCCCAAAAAAATTGAGAAACAACCATATGAACCACGGAAGCTGGTTGACTGCATTTCGTGGGCCGGCCACATACTCCCGGCACAACAGCCGCTGCTTGCCGGGTCGCAAGATTCACAGTAGGGGGCTCTTCTACTAAAACCATCCAACATAGATTCCCCCCCATGTAAGTCCCAGTCCTGTACAACAACGGCTTCGCGTACATGGGAGGTTTTTGCCAAAAACTCCCAGTCCTCCACAACAACGGCTTCACGCACATGGAGGCTTTTACAAAAAACTGCCAAGTCGCAATCGGAGCTTGCTCCTGTTCGGAGCTTGCTCCGACACGGCATGCTCCACTAAACTTAACCATCAAACACACGACCCCAAGTCCCAGCACCCCTCGCCCCCTTTTCCTCCCGTTGCATCAGCGCTCCGCCACCGCGGCCGCCAGGCCGCAGCTGGCGTGGGGCATCCTGACGTCGGCGCTCGCTGAGCCAACGACGTCGAAGACCCCAAGTAGATTTCCATAGGAACACGAGAAGTTGCAGTGTACTACATGTCAAGCAACAAATAGTTCCATAAAGTGAATCTCTTGAATGTATTCCATTTCTAGGTTCTCCAGTAGAGAGGATAGAATAAGGGTACCTTTTTTTTTTCTGTAGTCTATTTTAGAAGGGGAACCCTCCCCCAAAAAGGGTAAAAGGGCACTACTGGGAGACCTAGATTTGCAGTGTGCTTCCCTTCCATGGATTTCCGTTTGCTTTGCAGCTGAATGCTGAAGCCCAAAAAACCAGTGAAAAACAGATCAGCACCGGAGGTCTGGATGGCTTGCACGATCCGAAACAGCAAAAAAAAAGATGAGCCAAAGGTTCACCCATAAACAAGCAAGCCATCTGAGCTACGATGAAAATATGCAGCTCCCCCAAAAGGACATGAAAAAAACAAAATGAGTTCCATCCCCTGTTTCCGGAAGTTCCGCGAGCCCCCAAATGGACCATAGGTCAAAAAGCGGAGGTTTGGACCACGCATCGTGTGGGACAGTCTCGTTGCGCATGAGAGCTGCCTGACCCAAAATGGACTCCCACGGGTTCAGGGGTTCTTGAGGGTTCTTGCAGTGTCCAACCTAAACGTTTTCCAGGTGGTGGTCTGGCACAAAAACACACGAAACTTTCAAGTAGCCCTTTTTGTATATGGTTAATATATCACAAGAAACCTCCAACATATCGTTTGAGCATCCCCGGTTGGCCCAATATTCTAATAATGAGGACTCCTTTCGTAAGGGTCCGGGGAAGCTCAAAAAGTAGCTTGCAGGGTTCTCGGAGTCATCCGAATTTACACACAAATAGCTAGAACGCGGTTTCGGCCTGCAGTCGCACCACTGTTCAGAAACCATGGAATTTCTGATGAATGATTCCCCAACGTAAATACCAACAAACTGGTGTTCAATACTTTCATTTCGTGGCGCGAATGGATTTCGTCCACAGATTGGCTCGCCCGGCCAACCTGCGACCTGGGCGAAGCATCTCTCTCTTTTGCCGCGTCGCTGGGGTAAAGCCGTCCAAACGCCGGTCTGTGGGTCAAAGCACTCCTGACGAGCACTTGCTCATCCGGCATATGATGGTCCTAGTTGCCTTGATGGGAATCCTTATCATTCTAGGGGTTGATTCCTTGTCCATTCTTTTCAACCATCGTTCTTTGCAAAAAAACAGCTCTGTTTCCCCAGGGTGTTTGATGGTTTCCTGAAAAGAAGGATCCCTGGAAAGAATGGGGAAGGTAGCCCTTAGAATCATGGTTGTCTAAACTCGTCACTAAAGGATTCATGCCCATCCCTATTAACCCCAAGGAAGCAGGTCTTTTGACCATGTCACATATGAGCAATGCACAAAAGAACTTGTTGCCCAAAAAGGACATGGACAACGATTGGTGGTGTCCATCCATCCACACCCCCCAAACCTTCGTCAAGCCCCAGCACGGTTGATGTCCCAAAAGTGGCTGCCTTGTTTCCCCCGGAAAAAAGGCTCTTGAGCCCCTAACCCTGGGAATTCTGTTTCCCTGGAGTGTGGCTCAAATATAGCTTTACCAAGGCCTGCGATTGCACTCAGCCTCGTTAAGTTGTTCGAAAGGAGCTGGGGATCCTTGTGGGAGAGTTTGAACAAACCAAACTATGAACATCTGGAGGCGACGTTGACATCACTTAGAGGTGTCTCTTGACATCGTTCTCCTCCCCGGCATCGTCTTCCCAATCCCTACCTTAGCCACAGATATTGCTTTTACCAGAGTCTTCTCTGAAACTGAGCACAACCCAAACAAGCAACAGCCTAAAGTGAGCACATGAACCAAGAATCAAGGACATGTCGACAAATGGGTTCTGCAGCTATGAAGATTGTATGCCACAAGCTCATATTCGTGATATAATGTGTATATTTACGTAAGCCTCCGTGCCTCCATAACTACCTCTAAACCCAAACCTGAACCCATTCGGATATCCCCCCTTTTTGGGATAGAAATTATGCCCAACAGGGCAATACGTTCAGCCCAACATCAACCTGCAGGAAACTCACTCAAAACGGTACCACTGGACTTGCATGGACTCCAAAGAGGGCGACTCTTTTTGGTCTGATTTCAATGGAGTCTCCAAAACAGCCACGGGGCGCGGGGAAAAAAAGCAGCCGGGGCGCACCAACAAAAAAGGGACCGGGAAGCAACCCGCAGGCCGCTCCAAAGATTTCGAGACCCCACCCACCCACCCACCCGCCCCCCAACGTTGGCTCGTAGATTCTTTACCAAGCCACCGCCAGTGCCAGGGTTTGGCCCACACCTGGTCGAGGGATCCGGAAGCCACACACCGCTTCAGCCTATTGCTTCGCAGGTGCGTGGGACACACCGTAAAATCACAATCTTCAACCAGTCCAAACTACCAGGGCTGGGTTTCCATATGAAACACACAGAATTTAGTAGGGGCGATTTCACGTTGACCCTTAAGAACCAAGGGTTCAATCTTCAACCACCAGTCCAAACTACCAAAGGGTTGCCTGGCTTGTGGGCTACGCCACAAAATTACCAGGTGACAACCCTTCGAAACAGCCAAGGGTGTTTTTCTTCTCCCATATTGGCCATAGGTCCTGTAAGGATCCCTGCTTTTGGCCCGCTGTTTCGGCCTGAGAAATGGCCAAGAGAACCTCATGCTCTGCCCGAAAGACGTGGACATAGAAGATGGTCCCCGCTTGGGAGCGACTCAACATGGGCCCAACAGGCAAGCGCAAAACGTTCAAAGGTCGGCTTTGGCACCTTTGGCTGGGTCTTTCAGTGGTCCCAATTGACTGTGTGGCTCAGTCATTGTGTTGAGGGTCAAATTGGGTCGAAGCAATCTGATGACCATTGATTAAACCACTAAAAGGATGATATGTCCCACTGAATGGGAAAAGTTACGGGCCCTCAATGGAATATTATTGATCAACCCCCCTCAAAAGGGCGGGTTTGTGGGGCCCAAGCCTTGTTCAACGACCGGTAGCTCGCCAATTAAGTGATTCCCAACCACTGTTGGCCTAAAAGCTTGTCTGACACTTCTGAGCTCTGGATGAGGCAGGTCCAGAAAGCTCTCCACTGACTCTGGGCAATGGCTGAAGTCGAATCCCTGCGTGTGAGGCCCCCCAAAAATTCAACTGCGAGTCCCCCTTCTTTTCAAGGATCCTTCTTTGCAGAAGACCAGGGGACAAGCTGGTGCTTGACAAGAAGGATGGCGGGACAACATGGGGACAATCAGATAACAGATAATCAACCCCTGGAAAAAGCCAACACTGATACAGAAAGCGTGTGGCAGCGAGTTCTATTGACTTGACAATTTTAACATGCTTATTCGCGGCCACCCTGACTGATCAAAACCAACAACAACGCAAAAGCGAAACACGTTCGCCAAGAACGGTGCAGTGTGGGGTCACTCGCGTTGCCTTCCCCTCGTTCCGCCAGGTGGCATAGAAACACAGGTTAAGACCCTATTGATAAAACCTTTTGGCTTCCATTGGGGCCCGGAGCGAGTCTGGTTGTTCAAACACATTTCTCCACCAGCTCTTCGGGAGCACTCCCCAGACCCCAGTGGATTTCAAGATGGGGGAAAAAAAAGAGCACCCTCTTCTTTCGGCGGAGAACAAATGCCCTGCAGCTCTGGGTCATTTGCCCCAGCACCCGTGATGGCTCCAAGAATCTAACCCACAGCATCATGTAGGTGGTAAAATGTACATGGCCAGGGGGGATGCTTCCCCCGTGGATCCGGGAACGGCAATTGAACCTAAGCTACCAACCACTTGCTACCCTTCAACTGTTTCTTTGAAGCTGACAGGAGGGTTTGGGAAGCCCGTCCACTTCCATTGGAAAAAGGCTAACGTGTGCGAAGCTCCAAGTATTGTGGAGTCATCGGGGAGGGGGTGGTCCAGGGGATTCTGCAAGGCTCCCTAAAAAGAAGAAAAAAGAACCCCATAGAACCCAAAGCAAGCCCTAAAAAGCCCTCAACAAACACTCTAAGGAACCCGAAGGATTTCCGTTTTTTTTCCTCTTCCAGGGTTCTCAACCACCCCCCCCCCAAATGGTACCTACCCCCTCCGACCGGAGACCTCCTCCACCCCTCCGCCTCGTCCCCCGAAGACGTAGACCTTGCCCCGGGCCACCGCCGCCGCCAGGCCGTCCCGCGGCGAGGGCAGGCACGGCAGCGTCTGCCAGGTGCCCAGCAGCAAGTCGTAGCCTGGGAACATAATGCTAACCCCTGGTTGATCAGGGATCCTTAATCTCTACTCTTGGTATGGTAGCGAAAAACTTTGCTATTTGCAGACCCCCAGTAAAAATGAACAGAACCGAAAAACTAAAAAACCAAAAAGCATGCCAAGAACAGTGAAGAAATGGTTCTTAACCGTTTCACCACTCTAAGCACCTGAATAACATGGGCTGAGTCCCATCATACCTGAATCTGGTGTGCCCCACTCCCTTCGAACCTCGGCCCTCAGCAGGGATCCGGATGCAGTGAATACACCTGAACATTGCAACTTGTAAATTGTGGTTTCCGTTCTTTTTTTTGGTGCTGGAAAAGCAACATGTTTCAAATGGTTTCAAAATGTATCGTTTAAGGAGCCCTGCTAAAAGTGGCTAACTTTTGGTGGTTGATACAGAAAACCCAGTTGGCAAAAAGTTAAAGTCCTAATATCCATTGGCAAAATGCACCAAAGATGGGACGAGAAAAAGCGAGTCACGGGGCGTTTGCTTCAGTCAGACACAGGCTGTGGTTGAAACACATACAGGCGCTCTCAAAATTGGGTTCCCTTTAAATCCATCCAACAAGGTATTTTGAGAAACCTTATATTGGTGCTAAATAGGGCTGTGGTTGAAACGGAATCCACTTTCGTGATACAACAAAAAGAGCTTCCCAAAGACTAACCCCCCATACAAAGGGGGAGATTCCCTTGTACCACAGAAGTGGTTGGATCAC